AATAAAATAAGACATAAAAGACAAAAAATTAAAAAAGCGTGAAATTGAGGGTGACGCAAGCAACCACTGTTGGGATAAGACCACTACAGGGGGACGGGATCCACTGTGTCTGCTCGTGCTTTTGGGTCCGGACCCCATGTGATTCTGGCGCGATCCGTACGTCGATCCTGCTTTTTTGGTTGTCTGTCGCTTTACTCCTTTTTTGAAATTCAAGATTGGCCCCCATCTTTGCCCTTTTTTGGCGGCCATCCTGTTTTTTTTTAATTGCTAATTGTGGATTTTCCATTAAAAAAAAACCAACATAATTAGAATTTTGAATGGAAATAATATATATGTATATGTATGTGTGTGTTAGTGGACTGATTACAATTTGCTAAAATGCTAATCAGCGTCCGACTTTCACTTTTTCACAATGTGTCCACGAAACCAAATTTCATTGCATTATTATGTGATTCTTTTATTCTCTCTTTAAATTAATCGGTGAAAAAGTTGTCGCGGTGAATACGGATGGAGTTGACTGTTGAGTATACTCGCGAATCGAATGTCTAAAGCATACGCCCACGAAGCACAAAAAGAGAATACTCTCGAGTTTTTGTATTTTGGTGAGGGACAAACTTTATTACGTGAGAGTACGGCGCATGTGTATGCGCGTAACACCATCTTTACACAATAAAGTAACAAAAAAAGAAGAAGAAATGACAGCAAAGTAACAATACCCTAAATAAATCCAAAAAGAATAAATCCTACATTATCTTTCACAAAAAAAATAGGATACCTTAACAAATTAAAAACTTAGAAAAAAATACAAACTTAATTAAATATGAAAAATATCACATTCCAAAATCATAATTCTATAAAGGGAAAAAGCCATCGAAAATTCCAAACTCGTATATATATGACACATTTATCTTCTGTCAAAATTCCGTCACTAAGCACTACTAAAAATCTGCCTACATGGACGCTTGAAAAATAAACAATGTTGATATAGCACCCACATGACTTAAGTGAAATAAAAATAATATTATTTTAACTGAAAAATCATCTGACGGAATTTTGACGGAAGGTAAATGTGTAACTTAGGTACAAGTTTAGAGTAAATGGGTCATCATGGGTATAGTTTGGGGTTTTTGATGTCACAAAAAAATTAAAGGTAAATATGCCACGATGAATATAATTTTGAGTTTTTTTATGGCTTATTCTCCTCTATCAAATAATAGATGTAAATTCAACCTTGCACCGCACGAAAAGCGATGGTTTAAGATTCGCACTCTTCTCTTTCCATTGGCTGGTCTCTCTGGTAGCATTTCCAAGTGACTTGAGTTAGTGTTGCACTCTTTTAACAAAAAAAAAAGTTAGTGTTGCACTCATATTATTCTTTTTTCGCCTTTTCTGTCTTTATATATAGGTGAAAGGTCCACTTTTGATTCTTAAACTTGCCCAATTTTTCTTGAATAAAGTCCTTGAACGATTCATTTTACCAAATTTTGGAACTTGCATGACTTTTCTAATCAAATTTCTTCTTTCTCAAGTTTGATTAATTGAAGCTAATGTATCCCTTGAAGCCGGCAAGAGTCTAACATGCAATTTATTTATTTATTTGCCATTGCAGATTATAGGCTAAATAATGCATGAAACTAAGAAGTTTCTAAGACAAACTCTAAACCCGAGTTTTTCACCTCAAAACTCTTGCTAGCTCAGACGGACACATCATATTTCATTGGATTTTAAAATCGGAAAAAGTTTATTAACAAAGTTATGTAAATATAATGATTTAATTAGACAAAATAAAAATTCAAGAACTTAATTGGAAATAACGCGCGGGTTCAAGGACCAGAAATGAAATTTTACCTAATTATCCATCTTGAAAGTACGCAAAATGTTAGGAAGCTGACGGAGAAATAGAGGTCTTTCAGGGAAGAAATGTCATTTTGAGCAATGTTCCCATGTCACTAGTTAACTCTTGCATGTAAGAATGTCAATTAAGGTAAATCTGATTATAATCTAATTCAAAAGTCGTCATGCCTTGTAATATTGAAAGCATTTGAAGGTACAAAGTCAAATAAGGGGCTTCCCCTCTTATTGACTTGGTGATCAAGTTGTTTCCCTGTTACCCCATATCTCAGTGAATTAATTCAGGCTACAAGCCTCCTTTCTTGCGAAAAAGAAAAGGGAAAAAAGAAAAGAAAAATCAAGGTCTTTCGAATGGGCTAAATATAGAACAAAAAATGCTAGACATAATCAAGCATAGTCAAGCCGAGTCAATCAAATATTATTTACTATTTGAGTGAATTTTAACAGAATATTTGAGACTCTATATACTCTACTCAAGCTTGATTGAGAAAAATTACGAAAGTCTAGCTTAACTCAACCTTAAGCTCGAAGACTTAACATGAACACAAAACGAGTTAAATTGAGCTTTGAATAGTGTGTGCCCAAGCGCCGATAACTTAAACGAAACATCCATGAAAGCGGACCCTCTTGCAAGTCCTTTGGTCGAATTTCTTTCTTTCAATTATATAAGGATGTTTGCCGGCTACAAGCCGAGTTTGAGCATATTAATGAACAGTACAAAAAAGAAATTAACAAGGATTCTCCTTAATAACGAAGAGCAAATTTTGGTTAGCAAATAAGAAAGGATTAGGAGAGATTGTTCTCTCTTCTTCTTTTTTTTATAAATTTCTTCCATGAGATTTATTTTTAACTTTCATGTCTTTCGGGCTGCAATTGCTCTAGGGAAAAAGAAGGATAGTGGAGAGAAAAATCCCGGAAAGTGCTCCGCTGCTCAAAGATGGTCAAACCAGGAGGCTGATGAAGAGAGAGAGAGAGAGAGAGAGAGAGTGAGTGCCTTGGCAATTACCACTATCAGGGGAGAGAGTACATGGTTCTAGTACTTTGGGGGAAGGTGGTGGTGGGGTTTGGTGGATGAATGAAGCATCTTTAGGGAACAGTGAAATTAGGACATGGTCTCATCTGTAGATGCTGCTGATGGAATGGATACTAAGAAAGGGGTCTTGTTTCCATGTATGTCTTCAAATCTAGGGGCGCTTTGATGTAGGATTCGAGCCTCTCGACCAATTTCATCGATTCTTTTCTTATTTTGTTTTGTTATTTGACTGCTGGTGTAAAAATTTTGGACGAGGGATGTCGTACACCATTTGTTTTGAGAGAGTGAGTTGTTATAATACTCAAATTAAAGATGGATAAAACCGTGCACGTAAAATTTTCTTTGCACTGGGAGATAATTCTCATGTGTATTATATGTATTTTGTTTTATTTTCTTATTTCGAGTTACTCTCCTAGTACGCATGTTATTAGGCCTCCTCTAAATATAGGATGATACAAAAGGGTTTTTACGAGTTTTGTTATGAATTAAAACATAGTTATTAAGTTTGCCTGTTTGGCATTTTTTCTCTCATTAAATTAATACACACAACATTCACAAAATTGTTCTAATATTATTAAGGTCCAAAGTTTACAATTTACGGTCTGTTATTATTTGGTCGACCAGCAATCATATTCTGTGAAAAATCGACACAACACAATGTACTGTAGGCCAGATGTTACCGCCAATAAGTTAGGACATGACCACAACCTTTTTAAAATATTTATGATTCAATTGATCAACGGCGAAAAATATTCAGGATCGATATTTTATCCTCCCGATAAGATTTTTCATTGAGTTGATATGGCTCTCCGTGAAACATTACATAGGACCAGGAGTAGGACTGACCTGTGAACAGAAAAAGCAACCTCGGAGAACCAAGCAATTCATGTATTTTGTAACTTCTGAAACTGTTTTTTTTTCTTGCCTGACAAAAGAAGGAAGGAGGTATCACAGTGCAAACCTTGGCGGCTCAGATGGAACCTTTGTCACTGCTCCTGTTGCGCTTACTAGGCATGGCAGACCAAATGATTGATCTGGGTTGCTCATGAGCAAAAAATAACCTGTTTTTCTTTGCCCCTGATTTCACGCCAATGGGCTTCAACAGCACGTCCAAGAGACATTTTACCCGAGATTTACTTCTGAGGATTTCGATTTGATTGGTTCGGTATCGATCTTACTGTTTTGTGACAGCAGATTGCTCTTCTTGACTTTTCGAGTCTTGCTTCCAACTACAAAAAGGAAAGGAGAGAGAGAGAGAACCTAATTTTTGACAGAGACGTGAACGATGTCCCACCATTTTGTTGTTTTCCAGTGCACAGCAATGCCGCCTCGTATACCTTCATAGAAGTTCTGAATCTACTCAACCAAAAAACAAAAGACATGGTTAATTGCTTAAGAGCATACACTTGAGATGCGCAGTTCAACCCAGGCACCTTCACTTGCGAAGAAAGATCCAGATCAAGATCAAGATCCATAGAGAATATAATATTCGAGCTCATTAATATATTTAGATAAACTCACTTTCACTTAAAAATTTAATTCAACGAGCCTTCAAGTAGCCAGACATCTATGCTCATATCCCTAAGTTATAAAAAAAAACATGCTCTCGGGTTTTTAACGTTTGATTTCTACTCATGGAACCGTTCATTTAGATCACCACCATACAAGTGATAAAAAAAATCAAATATCTCTTGTTGGGATAGAGGTTGAAATATAATCAAATACCATATAAGTTTGAGGTCTCATCTAATTATCAAAATCCATATTCATCACTTTCTTTTCATCTAAACCCTCAATTCCCTTTTCTTTCCTTTTCTGAATTGAGTTTAAATGTGTCAAAGTTCTTTTTTCCTTTTATTCGATCATCACAAATTCACAACATTTCTTTTTCTGGTGCGACGATTAGAGTCGGAAATCGATAAAATCAATAATTACTGATTATTCGATCCCGACGTACGATAAAATATCAATGTTGGAAACCTCTCCTTTCAAATTACCTCTGTTATATATTTATTTTTGCCTCTCTTGAATCATTTTTCTTTCACTCTCTCTTGCCAGAAAAGCTACCAATTTAATAAAACACTCGTCGGCCATGTGGGATGATATGATAAAGTACATGCAAACATCACGATCACCTTTCATTAAACAATGAATTGCGTATTTGGCTGCATTAAAATAGATTTTCCGATATTTTATATACATCATTAAAGAGCGTGAATATTTTTCATTCTGCTAGCTAATACAGAGGAACTGGTAGCCGAGGCGGCTTCACCGGCTTCTGCGCTTTAACGACGACGTTTTTCTCTTCTCGCGGAGGCTGGCAGGGACATGGTAGTGCTATGAACTTCGGCGTCTCATCGCCCGGCATCAAAACCGGCAAGGTCTGGCTCTGGTTTCGCTTCACATCCTGAACACTCAGCGAAAAGAAACAAATCTTTATTCAAGCGAAAGTTGCAAAAGTAAAGCTTCCGATGATGCATAGAGCTCAAACCATCAACTTCAGGATCAATTACAGTCCAGAAAACGATTCGCTATCCTACATAGTAAAAGTATGTAGCTCTAGATAGCTAGAAAAATTTACCTTGGACGAGGCAACGGATTTCCAGGGCGGGTTTTCGAGGTCGGCCTCGGGATCAGCGTCGTTGTCGTCGGAAGACTGGCGGAGGGAGCGGAGCTTGTCCCAGTGGTAGCAGCAGGAGAATATGCCGCTCAGGCTGAAGATGACGATCAGGAGGAGGGCTGTGCCTAGGGGGAACCCAAGGGACGGCCGGGACGCGTCCACGTGCGGCGGGGAAAGATCTGGGCTCTCCATCGTCACCTAAGCTTCTCGATCTCGATCTCGATATCGATCTCGGTCCTTCTCTCATGTGTTTCACGAGGAGGGGAAAGATGGGAGAATCGGAGCGGCAAGTTGAGGAGAGGAAGAGAGTGAAATGCTATGCGACATCGAGAATGAGGGTCGGGGGTTTATAAAAAGAATGAAAAAGATTTTTAGCCCTAAGAAAATTAAAAATAAAAAAAATGATTAAAAAATGCAAGTGAATAAAGGCGAGTACGTGTAAAGAAGGGTACATTGAGTGTCCGGGGCATAGTACGGAAATGGCGGGTCCATGCATTGTCGAATTTGGTGACTTGAGCATGACTTGAAGTTGAAGTGTGAAGGGGAAGGGTTTGGTTGTTGATGGGGGAGGAAATTGAAAGGGAAGATGATGATGACTAACAAAAGAAAAAGGGAAAAAAGAAGAAGAAGAAGAAAATGGCATTGTAGACCATCGTCAGATGAAAGAGAGTAAATTTCGGCCGTTGATTGCAAGTGATTAACATTATGTTTTATTTCGACATTTTGTATAAGAGTTACGAAAGAAATGTAAGGATTCGCGAGTTCTTGATATTCAAGAATCTGTCTCTTGATGGAGCATAGAAATGCATGTGGAACAGTGGAAGTTTAAAAGGAAGGAAGAGGATGGCCTAAGTGTGAAACCAGGCAAGCTCCAGTATAAATGGGCTTTAGCTGGAAGCAGAAAAGTTGGGGTTTTTTTGTCTGACTAATGCCTTTTGGCTGGAGGCTGGGGCATAGCACATGCTCTTCCTGACTTTTTTTATATTTTGGTCGGACTATTCCCGACTTATAATGCCACTTTTGCAGGGTAATCTAAAAGGAGAACGACAGAACAAATTAGAAGATGAGAATGATACAAGTGCATTCACACGATCCATTGTCCATGTAGTCGTGTAAATGCTGTACAAAAGTGAGATAAAAGCGACTTCTATTATCATGAAACAAGATGCTGGTGGAAGGACAAGTGCATAAGGATCTTATATCCTTTTCAAAATGTTCAATTTAGATTCGTGTGTCTGTTCACTCCAATTCGGAGAAGTTTGCTGATTGATGAGTCGTTTATCCCAGTGCCATGACATATAGAAAATAAAGAAGTATTTTGACACAAGATAACAAAGGCGTAAGACGAAAACTAATTAGAGGTTATTCACGGCAAGATTCAAACTTGGGACCTTTCGAAATACAAATAACCTCTTATCATTAGATTAATGCGCCCGGTGGTGCGGTAAAAGCACCTTTCATTGTAGGACTCATGCCGCTACTTTTCGTATTGTCTTTGAGCTTCTTCTCATGAAGTTTGCATGGATTAGATGGCACACCAGGTATTCATCTACAAGGGTGAATCTGGTGGGCTCTATCAGATCACAATCAGCGGCCATTTGATTCATTAAACCTGGTGGAGATCATCAAAATCAACAATTAGTGGAACTCACTCGATCCACTGGTGCAGATGGATCCTGATTAACTTGGTTCGTGCAATGATGGCCACTACAGAGATATATATTGGATTCTGTACGTGTGGACCATTTAACAACACTCCACACATGGTGATAATCAACTTAAATAATGGTCATCACATCACATCATACCCACTTTGTGCCACATTTACAAAACGATGCAGAATTTAATTTGCACAGGTAAATTTGGTCTATTGAAGTACCTAGAAACGGAGCAGTAGAAAAAGGCAAAAGATATCTCATGATTTTTAGTCAGTCTTATATAAAAAGATGATAACAAGGGCTCGAGAGATGTCGTTAATTTGGGTGAGAAACCTATTCACCATTGGTTATTTTCGTTGCATGTGAGCCCAACTCTCATACACCATTAGATGAAATGCGTTTCACATAAGACCCGATTGATTTAACGATATATGTGAGTTGGGCTTATATATTCACATGCGCTTTGAATATGCATTATTGAATAAAAATAACTCAGTGGGAAATTTCAACCTCAAAATTTCAACTATAAATTCCATGGACTACCCTTCGTCAATTATAATCCCACAATAGTAAATAAGGGGCAAAATTCTAATTCAAAAATAAGCTTAGTCACGATTCCTAAAATGTCCGACACTTTCCAAACTTCAATTTCAACCTTTCTGATATTTGGCAAGTTAAAATCTCTCTTATTTCATAAAATGAAACGAAATCTTTGAAATAATTCTTTAAAATATATAGGGCTCCGCATTTTTCTTCATGCACTCATAGCATCTGCTTTGATAGGTCCATTACCGCATACCATTGACGTGTCAAAAGTCAAGAAATATTTCAACGCAAGGGAGAAGGCCCAAGGCCAAAACTGGCTAGAGAATGCTCACGGCATAATTCAAACTTTTGACCCCCTGAAAAACAAGTAACGTTTTATCATTGGATCGATTACTAGGCCTAGTGGGGCGGTAAAAGCACCATTCGTTTTGACACTTATGGCGCTACTTTTCGTATCGTCTTTGAGCTTTTTCTCATGAAGTTTACATAGGATTTAGATGGAGCTTTCCTCATGAAGTTTGCGTTGGATTGGATCGTACACCAGGTAATCATCTATAAGGATGATTCTAGTGGGCTTTATCAAATCACAGTCAGTGTCCATTTGATTCATTAAACCTGGTGGAGATCATTAGCGTTAACAACTAGTGGAATTACCTGATTCAACGGTGCAGATAGATCCGGATGCACTCGATTCATGCAATGATAGAGACTACAAAGAGAGATATTGAAGCATGTGCTTTTGGACCATTAATATCCCATGCATGTTGATGATCAATTTGAATAATGGTCATTACATCACATCGAGAAAATTACCAAAAAAGTCATAAACCTATTATAATTGTGCAAATTTAGTTCTAAATATTTTTTCATTTGTGTTAATTCAATCCATCTGGCTAATTTTGGCCGGAAATCGCTGACATAGACGCTGGTCATCCTACGTGATGTAGTCGGTGCTGACATAGAAATTTTTTAATAATATTATAATATTTATTTTCAAAATTTTTTATTATTTTCTTTTTCCTTTTTTTATTTTCTTTCTCTTTCTTTTTTTCCCCTTCTTCCTCTACTGGTGAGGGCGAGCCTCCGATGACCGGCAATAGGAGGGAAGAAAAAAAAAGGAAAAAGAAATATAAAAATTCAAAAAAATATTAAAATATTATTAAAAATTGTCCAAGTCAGCGCCAGCCGCGCCACGCAGGAGAGCCGACATCCATGTCAACAATTTCCGGCTAAAATTGGCCGGTTTGACTAAATTGGCATAAATGCAAAAGATTCAGGACTCAATTGACAAAAAAAAAAGCTTAAGACTGAATTATCACAATTGCAATAGGTTTATGACCTTTTTGGTAATTCTCCCACATATCCACTTGAATGGTATTACATCATGACAAAGATTAATCGTTCGAGATCTGAAAAGATATCTCATGTCTTTTAGTTTGTATTATGTTAAAAAATTATAACAAGGGATTGAAAGATGTTTGTATTCTGGGGGCAAAAAGTCATCCACCATTCTTGGCACGAAAAATTCTGGACTATTCTCTCTGTATGTGAGCCCAATGCCCATACATCAATAAATAAAGTGGATTTCACATGGGATTCCTTTAATTTAATGATGTATGCGAGCTGGGCTTACATAGTCACATGCACTTTGAATATGCATTACAAAATCTCTAAAACTTTCCAAACATCAATTTGAATCTTTATGATATTTGCTAACTCAAAATCCTCTTATTTCACAAATGCAGCTTTGAACATTTTTCTTAGTAACTTAGAATTACATTTTTCTTTACATATGCAAAGCGAGTGGTTCTTTGTCAGTATCCAAAAATTAAAAGTAAAATAAATTATCTTAAAATTCTAATATAAACGGAAAAAATTAAGAAGAAAATAAATAATTATACGTCTAAATTTTTTTTAACAAAAGATATAAAACCAACGCGGAGAAGAAACAATTTTAACCCACTCATTATTTTAATTAGTTGTCACTTGCCTACAAGCAAGCTAAGGGTAAGTAGGAGGACCATTCAACGATAGGACTCAGCAGGATCCACCAATTTAAAAAAAAATCAAAATAATATGCATTTTATAGAGTACTTTATACAAGCAATTATCCATAATAAAAAAAATAAGGGAATAATCCAATGACTAATTATTGAAAAAATAAAATATAATGAAGGTTGCCTAGCTAGGCACTGCTTTTTCCCTTTTACCTGGTTATGGCCCCGACTATAATGTATATTCCTTTAATTTAATGAGTAAATTGGTAGCCACTTTCTCTTTTTTTTATTAGCGATAAATTCAGACATAAAGAGTAAACTCACAGATTCTTTGTGCTGAAAGTTGCGGCGAATCTTATCATTTGTGATTGGCATAAGAGACTTATCGAGCACTACACACGAAGAGAAAGCAAGCTAGCAAAGCAAAGCCCGTTTTTGTAGGGACAATGGTGAGCCTCGGTTTCACTTACCAAAGAAAGACAGCTTTAGGATGTGTTTGTTTTGGCGAAAGTATTTTCCCGGAAAGTGTTTTCAGGACTTTCATCAGTTTGATTTTCCGAAAATGATTTTTGTCAACGAAAAATACTTTCTGGTCAATACAAATATCATGTTTAATTTTAGGAAAGTGAATTCTCTAATCTAAGAAAGTGAAAACACTTTCCGAAATTACATTTGTTAATATTTTTTCTTTTCTTTTCTTTCTTTCTTTTTTCTTTTCTTTTCTTTTTCTTTTCTTTCTAAGAAAGAAAACATTCATATATTTTCTTTTCTTAATAAAAATAATTTGAAATAATTTAAAAAATAAAAAAATTAATAATTTTCATCATCAGATTTTGCTCACCAAACAACTGAAAATACTTTCCAAGTCTTTTTAAGGTTTTAGCCAAATACCAAAAAATGAACTCATTTTCCTGAAAAATGATTTCCTGGAAAGTATTTTCTAGAAATGGTCCATAATCCGCAAAACAAACACACCCTTAGACTCAATGAATCCAACCAAAATCGTAGCCACCCATCAAGCAGGCCCAGCCTTCGTTTGTTTCAATCTAGTGGCATTTATTTCATTGAGTTATTTGCTTCGGCTCCTTCATTTCGATTTCGTTTATTTCATAGAAAATGAATAAT